ACTTTATTAGAGTTTCACAGTTGACAAAACAAGAGAGTTTCAATATTTCATAGATAATATTATATATCATAATTAAAATAAAATAATATTTTAAATGAGTTGATAACATGACGAAAATTTCAACCTACTCCAACCCCAACCCATTTATTTAAATGGTAAATGGGTTAGGCAAGTTACTCATTTATCTAAATGGGGTGAAAATCTCAACCCAACCCGCTGATTTTGGGTTGGGTTAACGGATTGCTGTCACTTTTTACCACTCCTAATATCACGGTTATCAAAAGAATATGAGTTTTCATTTACTTGTTATTAATATATATTGAAAACTAGGTGCTTTCTGAAAGCAATCATGCTTACAATTTATCTGAGTCAAGTCATCATCAAAAGGTCATCAGATCAATTAGACCCTTAAATAAATAAAAAAGTTCGTTCCAGATCTTAAAATGATGATTTTGAAAGTTAATTCCAAAAACAGAAATCAACCCAAAAGTTAAAATGATGATTTTGGTTCCACTTTAATGTAATTTTCTTTCTACAATTGATTTCATTTTTCATTAATTTGTTGAAACTAGTTTTTTTCTTCACATAAAGACAATCAATTTTAATGATAAAGCGATCCTCGGAATATGACATGGACGTGTCCTATACAAAGATTTGGAGCGGTATGAAAACTAAAACCGAGACCACTAGAGGTGGCATATCCTTAGTTTAATGAGTATATATGACAAGAACAAGTATTCAATCACAAATCAATCTACGCCATTTGATGTGAAATTGTCACAAGGAAAAAGTGAAGAATTTAGTAAAACCAAGGACGTCGTAGGGGCCTAAGTTGGAGGTCTACTCTATACTTCATCATTATAAAAGAAATCAAATTTTAATTACAACCCGATAAGAATGCAAGGAAATTAGGAAAGGAGTTTCGAGCAAAACCCAATTTCAAGTTGCATCAAAGTAGGTATAGTTTTTTATATTTAAGTCATGTTTATGGTTTTGATATTGAACAAGGACGAATAAGTATATATGGGTCTAAATATTTAAGATGACTTTATGTGTTTTGATTTAAAAGTTTAGATAGACGTTATATGTTAGTAAATTGCATGGATTGCACGTTACTTTAGTTAAGCCATGTAGTGATGTCCTCTAGCACATGCAGGTTAACTCCTCTTTCCTCCCTCTATATTATTGAATCTAATTTTCACTGAAACATGAATATTTATATGTAGTTTTTAAAAGAGAAGAAGTTTAAACAGAGCATAATAGCCCATGTGAAGATAGAGGATGGTGAAGGGATTTGTTATGACAAAGTTACCACCACATTGAGGAGGTATGTTCACTTATTTGCAACCTTGCAGGCTGAAGATGGCCACTAGCCAGCCGAAAATGCTGGTCCAATGTATTTCATCCAGCCATTTAGTTAACTATATGAAGTTTAAATGGCTTTAAAATTGAATAAATTTAGTTTTACTAATATATATACACACACACATAGACTTGGGATCACGTGAGACCAGCCTGTTTTTTTGAGACCCTTTGGGACTATTTTTTTACGCTTGAAACCTCACAGCAAAACGCTGTGAAGATAACCTTCATAGTGTTTTTGCTGTAAAGGTTCGACTTTTTTTTTTTTTTTTACCTTCAAAGCGTTTTGTTGAGAAGTTTCAAGTGTAAAAAAGTGGTCTCATGGGTTTCATGAAGATAGGCTAGTCTCATGTGAACCCAACCCTATATATATATATATATATATATATATATACACACACACACACACACATAATAAATAAGTAACTTGGTTGACACGTGTCATCTTCTGGTGAGGCGGTTATCTTGTTTTTCAGCCTAAAGATGTATCTAGACACAATTTACATTATCAGTTCAATTAGACTCATTTGAACGTATCTAGACACAATTTACATTAGCAGTTCAATTAAACTCATTTATAGACATGTGTCCTCTTATTCAATCAATCTCACTAATTTAAGATGCAATTGATTTTATTCTTGGGTTAATTAATTCGTGTGGTAACTGATTCCCGAAAAAAAATGGTGTTTTACTTCAGAGTATAAGAGTTATACTTTAAAGTTATTCTTCAGAGTTATTTCAATACTACAAGTCTGAATTCATTCTTCAGAGTTTTATTTCCGAGTTATTTTAAGAATACAAGTCTGAAGTCATCATCCAGAGTTATACTTTAAAGGTATAATTCAAAGTTATTTCAAGAGTACAAGTCTGAAGAGTCATTCTAAATGTACTTTTATGTTTAAATTCAATTTACTGATATAATTTCATTTCTAAATTTAATTTTATTCTAGAGTTAACTTAATTTTAACTAATTATTGATATAGTTTCAATTCATTTCTAAATTCAAGTCTGAAGAGTCATTTTTCAGAGTTATTTCAAGAATATAAGTCTGAAGTAGCATCGTACTTTCGATGATCATTCATATATGTAAGATAAGTTTCCTGACATGATTTAATTTTTTAAAATTACCTCGTGTAATACACGGGATCAAATCTAGTATATATATATATGAAAAGTTGTTGATGTGGCACGATCTGTATCATAAATTATAGCAACTGTACAGATGTTTCTTAATATAAGAAATTGTTTTTGGGTAATTGTAATGCCAAATCGCCACCTTTTGTTGATTTGATCTAAATTTATAATTTTTTTGTGAAAATAATTCATTAATAATAAAATAGTAGTGGAAAGTAATTTTTAAATTGATTTTTGAGGTAACATGCTTTAGAAATTATCGTAGCGGAAGGTTTTACAACCAATCCACGCATTGTGATACGAACTTGTGCATTAACAAGTTAAAGAGCAGCGATGTTTTTGGTGTGGTAGCTATTAAAACTAGGTACACTAGATTGGGGACCTAACTATTAGTTGTTAAGTTTGTTTTTAATGTTTTATCATTATAAAAATAATATTTTTTAAATTACAATTTAATATCCGCCAACTTGATATGTATTTGCCACACAAAAATAGCAGACTTTTTTTTTGGAAGAGTAGCTTATATGGGGACGTTAGCCATGGAAACCTAAGTTACGTGTCTATCTTTTAGACTTGTCATTGTAAAGCAAACCAAGTGTATGACTTGAGCTATGTCAAAATTGATTTAATGTATAAAAGAAAGAGAATGCAAGGAAATTAGGAAAGGAGCCTAAGTCGCATAATTTCAAAGCAAATTTCAAGTTCAAATTGTATCAACACAAGGTATATTTTATATTTTTAAGTTACGTTTATGGGTTTTGATATCAAACGAGGATGAAGTATGACACACACACACACACACACACATATATATATATATATATATAAATATTAAGATGAGTTTACATATGTTTAAAGTTCGATAGATATTGCATGTTCCCAAATTACATGTTATACATATTATTTTAGTGACATGTTGGGAATATTTTTTAGAGATGATGCAACTATATTATTTGACTAGTTCTGGAGATAACTGATCAACAGTGAAGGTCATTGATATATTGGTATCTAAGATGTAAAGTTTTAAACATTTAAGTACCCGGATAACCGGTTGAAATATTAACCGATTATCTTGCTGATATGGCGAGTGATGTGATATCCAACTCAATATTATTTGTTGACATGGTTAGTGACATGAATTCTTTTAATCTAAAATTAGTCTTTTTTTTAATCTAAAGTTAGTTTTTCAACCGATTACCTAGGTACTTAAATGTTTAAAACTTACATCTTAGGTACTAAAATGGAAGTTTTGAAAGTACATTACCCAAAGAATCAAGTTATAGAACGTTATTTTTTCATTCAATTTGCCCTAAATAAAATTGTCGGATATGATGTGTCACAATAACAAAGCTAGCAAGTGATTTCTAAGGTCCCTTCAAAAATAGAAATCCAGGGACACAACAAACCCGACAACAAATGCGGATAACAATTATCTAGATGTTGCATAATGACTCTATCAAAAATAAACAGTGATCTACGTAAATGATAGGTCCACAAAATAACAACACGAGAATTTAACGTGGTTCCACTATCAATGTGATAGTGTACGTCCACCAAAGAGAGAGAGAGAGAGCAATAATATTATTACCACCAAGCAGATTACAAAGTGCTTGTACATGGATTTTTAAATCCACAATCAACTAGCAAGTCTTCAGAATATCAAGAATTTCAAGAACACTCTCGTATCTCACACACATATATATAGAATATACTAACTAGAAAGTGTTGTATCTATAGAAAGAAGAGAAACCGGGGTGTGTTAAATGTTGGGGCCAAATGGTTATTTATAACCAAACAAAGAGTAAGAACCAAGATTGGAGGATGAGTAGTGAGCAAGGATGGCAAGAGTAGGGAGCAAGCATGGTGGAGTAGTCACCAAGTATCAGTTTTACTGATTTGGTCATCGAGTGCAACATCCATAAACACAAGTAATATATTTTATATTACAACAAAAATAACTGAAAAATGCATGGCCAAGAATTCGATTCGAGATCCATATTCGAGACTTGGGTTTGGCCTCTAGAGCACCTTAACCAAACAATAGTGAAAGCAATATGCAGATAGGGAGACACCAGGATTTTTACATAAAAAACCGAATTGGGAAAAACAACTGGCAAAAAATGCCACTATATTGATTGGAGCTATTACAAGTTTAGATGTCACGATGTGTATATTTAGACGTATAAGACAACAAACAAAATCACAACAATACCATTCGAAGGTGGGCGGCCCACCCCGCCTAGAACAATTATGTTATCTCTTAACAGTAAAATCCATATGATGCTCGTATGCGAGTTATTGGCAACTTGCCAAGGTGCATACACACCTTCTCGCCCGATTCATCATTTTGTCGAACTTGACTTGCATGTGACATAACTAACTCCCAAACAATGTACCGTAACTATAAACAACTTCTATAAAGTGTGTGCATGCATGATATGAGTATTTACTGAAAATGTGAATTAATTGCAGCAGTCGTAGCAATATCTAATTTGGACGAAAAAATGTGGAGGTTGAAGATAGCAAATGGGGTTAATAACCCATATCTTTACAGCACAAACAATTTCGTTGGAAGGCAAACATGGGAGTTTGATCCTAACTATGGAACTCCAGAAGAGCGTAATGAAATTGAAAAAGCACGTCTTCATTTCTGGGATCATCGACATGAAGTTAAGCCCAGTAGTGATGTCCTTTGGCGCATGCAGGTTAATCCCTCTTTCCTTCCTCAATTTTATTGGATCTGCAAATTAAACCAACTTTTACTGAAACATGAATATGTAATATGTGTGTGTGTGCATATGCAGTTTTTAAGAGAGAAGCAGTTTAAACAAACTATAGCTCAAGTGAAGATAGAAGATGGTGAAGACATTAATTATGAAAAAGTTACCACCACATTGAGGAGGTCTGTTCACTTATTTGCAGCCTTGCAGGCTGAGGATGGCCATTGGCCAGCTGAAAACGCCGGTCCAATGTACTTCATCCAGCCATTGGTAAATGCTTTGATTTTATTGATGGTTACTCATATAACATAACTTTTAACTTTTAATTTATGGATGCAACTATATTCACCTGATCATATCGACAAGATGACACTAGCTAATTAACACAAATATCAAACCAAATGCAGGTTATATGCTTGTATATCACAAGGCATCTTAACAGCGTGTTCCCACAAGAACATAAAAAAGAAATTCTTAGATACTTATATTGTCATCAGGTACTTATACGTATTATAATGCATTCTCATTCTCAACACAAGTTGACATATAATTAAATCTCATTTTGAATAATTTACAGAATGAAGATGGTGGGTGGGGATTTCACATTGAAGGCCATAGCACTATGTTTGGCACCACTCTCAGTTACATTTGTATGCGTCTTCTAGGAGAAGGACCTRATGGTGGTTTGAATGGTGCATGCACCAAAGCTCGAAAATGGATTCTAGATCATGGCAGTGCGACAACCATTCCCTCTTGGGGAAAAACATGGCTTTCGGTAAGAGGTTTTCATTCATACTGAAATTACTTTAAATTAAATAAGTTACCATTTAAAAACAAGATAAAAGACTTCATCTATGTTTCACATTTCTTATTGGTAATCCCTTGATTTTATCTAGTTTATTATATTAAATTAAAGCATTTATACKCTTTTGTTGTTTAGATACTTGGTGTTTGTGAGTGGGCAGGAAACAACCCAATGCCCCCAGAGTTTTGGATCCTCCCTTCCTTCCTTCCCACGCATCCAGGTYARCTTAGTTCTCCTATATCAATTCTTTGACAGACTAAACATTTTCCATATCACGGATAAATCTCTAATAATTGTTCTATTAAATTTGAAAAACATTTTTTTAGGTAAATGYACCTTTTGTACATTTAAAAGTTGAGCATTATAGTTAAATGCACACATTTTTTAGGTAATCAACAAATAAAAGTAGAGCATGTAACCTCGAAATGCATACGATAGTAGATTACAAGATTAATTAATCAASGTACATACCATGTTATATAACGTCACACTTATTGTCTCCTTCCTCCAAATATGCGCAGCAAAAATGTGGTKTTACTGTAGGCTCGTATACATGCCTATGTTGTATCTATACGGAAGAAGATTTGTGGGGCCAATCTCTCCTCTTGTTTTACAGCTTCGGAATGAACTTTATGCACAACCCTACGATAAAATTAACTGGAAGAGTATGAGACATTTGTGTGCAAAGGTGAATTATTTGCTTTACTTCATTGATTTGTACATTCTTTTCCAGTCCCCTAATTATTTGTCTAATTAAGCCAATTTATCATCCCAGGAGGACCTGTACTATCCCCAKCATTTACTACAACATTTAATGTGGGATAGCCTCTACATATTCACCGAGCCTCTCCTAACTCACTGGCCATTTAACAAACTGCGCGAAAAAGCACTCGAAACAACCATGAAGCATATCCATTATGAAGATGAGAATAGCCGATATATCACCATTGGTTCAGTGGAGAAGGTATAGAAAAAGGAAAATACCACAATTCTCTAAAAGATTAACAAGTACCAAGTATGAATGAGAAATGAATTCACCTTTATTAGGATAATTATGCCTCCTACAAACAAACTCTGCAGGCACTGTGTATGCTTGCATGTTGGGTTGAGGATCCAAATGGGGTCTGCTTTAAAAAGCACCTTGCCCGAATCCCAGATTATATCTGGCTTGCTGAAGATGGAATGAAAATGCAGGTCGTACAAGAAAAACCCAGTCCAAAGAGCATATATTTTCATTATACATGCATTTTAAAATACTAAAAGTATTTTAAGTTACTAAAAACTTCATGGGTGTTGTTACAAACCAGACTTTTGGCAGTCAGGCATGGGATGCAAGTTTCGCCATCCAAGCTCTATTGGCTAGTGATCTTATTAACGAGATTGGCCCTACCCTGAAGAAAGGACATGACTTTATTAAAGATTCACAGGTCTCCAGATTAAAAATTATGATGCACACCATGAATTAATAATTATAGACAAACCTGAGTTTCTTGTAGCTATTGGACTCCTTGGTTAATCAACTCTTATGTAGGTAAAGGATAATCCTTCTGGTGACTTTAAAAGCATGCATCGCCATATTTCTAAAGGGTCATGGACCTTTTCAGATCAAGACCATGGATGGCAAGTTTCTGATTCTACTGCTGAAGGATTGATGGTATTATATAATTCTTTAAAAATCAAATAAACAAGCTAGGAAAAGTTGGCCTCTCATTTTCTACTTACTATGGGCAGTGTTGCCTTCTATTGTCAATGATGCCGCCAGAATTTGTTGGTAAGAAGATGGAGCCTGAGCAACTTAACAATGCTGTTAACGTAATACTTTCCATGCCGGTAAGCATAAATTGAAACACTGGAGAGAACAATAAGCAAATAAAACCTTAAAGTTGTGTAAGCAGCTAATATAGTTGATCAATAATATAAAGATTAACTATTTGAACCTTGACAAGCTCTTTTTTATTATTATTTAAATTGATGATGAGATATATAGAGCATAAATGGTGGGCTACCAGCATGGGAACCAGCAAGATCATCAAAATGGTTGGAGGTAACTAGATCATGAAAATTGTTCTTTCTTTCAAAATGCACTTTACCAGTAGGTACCCCTAATTAAGTTAATTTATGTTCCATTTCAGATTCTCAATCCTACAGAGTTCTTCGCTGACATTGTCATTGAGCATGAGTAAAGCTTTGGACATAGTTTACTATTTCCATTTTTTTCTCCTGTTGACAATTACTTTATAATTTAACGTCATGAGATTGACCAAAGTTGTTGATCAGGTACATTGAATGCACATCATCAGTAATACAAGCCTTGGCATTGTTTAAGAATTCATACCCTGAACATAGGAGTAAAGAAATAGATAGTCTCCTTACCAAAGCAGGTGAATACATTGAGAAAATGCAGATGTCAGATGGTTCGTGGTTAGTTTCTCCATTCAGTATCATAAGTATAACAGTTTCTAAAATTGTTGGAATGACAATATTCTACTTAAATTGCCAACATAATTAACGAGCCATGGGTATTAGGTATGGAAACTGGGGTATCTGTTTTACATACGCTACCTGGTTTGCTCTTGGAGGACTGGCAGCAATCGGTAAGACATACGAAAATTGTCAGGCAGTGGGTAAAGCTGTCAATTTTCTGCTGAAAACACAGCTGAAGGATGGTGGTTGGGGAGAAAGCTACCGATCCTGCATAGAAAAGGTTATACTTCAGCAAAAACAAGTGCTCAAAATTAATAATAGAATAAAACAATTTCTACTTTTGGTCTAGCAAACTGTGTAACTKTTCAGCAATGCTCACTGGTCTTGCATTCTTCTCCTTGGTTACTTCATAAGCAGAAATATGTGCCTCTAGAAGGAGGACAATCCAACTTGGTACAAACTGCATGGGCTATGATGGGGTTGATACATACCCAACAGGTTAATTTCTTATCTCAAAACTATGTCGTAGACATTATTTATTTTGAATAAAAATAAAAGTATGTGATCGTACAGGCGTAAAGAGATCCTACACCTTTACACAGAGCTGCTAAGTTATTGATCAACTCCCAGCTGAAAAATGGTGATTTCCCCCAACAGGTAAGACAGATAGGAAAGTAAGTTCAGTTAAATCATACGAAAATCGGAGAAGGATAAAAGTTAGTAATGGGCATGTATCTAAGCTAATTTTTTTCAGGTTCATAAAAAAGGTAGGTTGAAGTTTATGCATTTGTCATAATTAAATTGACAATGTGCATTGGGTAGTATGAACATGTATGTCTTAGGGGTTTCTCGACAGTTGCTGAATGGTTTGGTGCAGAATGATTAAGAGGCTCGCATGATATAGTGCAAATGAAACATAATTGTTCGATAATTATTTACAACAATTAGGGCGCTGAATGGTTAAAGGAGACCCATGATACAAGATCATTCAGAGGGTTTTAGAACCATTAATTAAGAGGCAGACTTTTTTTTGCCAAACAACATTCACCTCTTAACGGTCCAGAGGTTGTCTCTTAATGAAACTATTAAAAGGTAAACAAACAACCCCTGAGTTATGAATTTCAATAAGGTCCCAATACGAATGAAATATTATAGCATGATGATTTCAATTAAAGATGAAGTGCTAACAAAGTGATGAAATTTGTGATAGGTTCCAACTTCCAACATTTACTAATCACTGTAAAACTATTTGATTAATTAATGCAGGAAACATCTGGAGTTTTCAAGCAAACCTGTCTGTTGCACTATCCATTATACAGGAATATATTCCCAATGTGGGCTCTAGCTGCTTATCGTAAGGTGCTCYCACAACCCACAKCCATCCAACACCATCATCAGTGCAAATAAATAGCTATGGTGTCTATACTTGTATCCAAAAAACCGATGTTTAAATCGGTGTTAAAAATTTGTTATAATAACCKAAAGAGAAAGCTATCATTCTCTTCAATGTTTTATCATGCTCTAATTTTAATCACTTATATCACATATAAATTAAGGTTTATTAAGTCCAATATATACATGGAATCGTTAGACGAACCTTGCAGAGGAATCCTCCAATGTTTGCGTTACTCAAGCCAACATTTTTTCTTCCGCTTTGTGCACTACCGCTCATACAGGTGCTTCACTCTAAGGCAGAACGCTCCTCTACCGATGTATTTTTACATCTCACAGCTCCAACAGATCGTTTAGGCCTGTTCATATTTTGCGTAAAGAGCACTCGATCATTGAGATATTACACTCTTTCAAGGTTGGCTACTTCTAGGCAGACCTCGTGACTGTCTCTGTACCCCAATCTCCTTATGACAACAGTCATTTAGAGGCCTTAGGTGATGATCTGTGTTGTTTTCCTCTTGAGGATAAAGCTTATCCCTCGTCGTCTCACTGGCCGACCTTGACCCCGATCTTGTTTGAAGTCATCTTTCATTTAATCTTTGATCAAATCTATTATTAATTTATATATCTAATTTGTATAGATAGCTAAATATATTAAATAACTTTTTTTTCCTTATATTTATATATATGGTTTCTAGAATGTTAAAAACCCTAATGTGATTGTTTCGTAATAATTATTATAAGTCACAAGTCACATTAATTGGTTAATTATGATGAATATATTTTTTCAATCGGAACCTGATTAAATATTTAATAAAAATATTTGAACTGAATACACGGTAAACTCAACCACAACTATCATTTAATATTTGAATATTGTTGAATTCTTCACCATAGCTTCCCTGATCACGAGTCACGACCAACAATGTCCAACATGATCGAATACAAACGGTGGTTAAGTATGTATTGTTAAAATGAAAAATTGATTAAAAAAAAAGTTTAAAAAAATATATAGAGAGGGAGAATCAAATAAAAACATAGTCAAGATAAGAAAATAATCACATCACATATGATTTTGCACCGAAATCATATGCAACTACAAAACACCTTCAACATAAGGATGAGTGAGCGACTTGGCCTATGACCTCAGATCTCGATCAAAGTCGTGTTAATCACATGTGATTTTGTCGTTTCCTTGTACTCTTATTTGATTACTATTCTTGTTTGAACTCGACTTTCTCTATCTTCGCGTCTGTCTCTCTCTCTATACACATATATAAATAGAGGGAGTTTCATATACAAATCAATATCGTCCCTTTATCAATATTGGTATCATTAAATATTCAAAAATTATCGTTTTTTATATTTTCTATTTTAATCAAAAACTTTATTACAATTTAAATATTGAGTAAACTACGATTTTGGTCCATGTGGTTTGATATTTATAACGATTTTCGTCCTTATGGTTTAAAAACTTTTTTTTATCCTTATGGTTTCCATTGTGCTCTCATTTTCGTCCCTGCATCTAACATTATTAAGAATAATCATTAAAAGGTCCAAAAATTGAAATATAATTAAAAAAAAAAGTAAAAAAGTATACAATATATATAAGTGAAATTTAAAAGTTTACTAATATAATAAATGAAAGTTATGGATAAATATTTAAATTTATATGCCACAAGAATTAAAACATGTAATTTTTCAAATCAGTTTTTAGACATTTTAACGGCAATTTTTAGCGACATTAGATGTAGCGACGAAAATGAAAGCAAAATGAAAATCACAAAGACGAAAAATAGTTTATAATTACAAGGATGAAACCGTTATAAATGTGATAATGATGTACAACCATCTACCCCTATCAAAAATGTATAAATACAACGGTGACAAGATAATAAAAGGATCCATAATAAAGGTATTTAATATTCTTTTAATATTTCTTTTACAAAAGCTTTTTGTAAGTTGTTCACAGTTATAAAATTGATTAACTGTACAAAATCCAACTACTTTTTTTTGTCTCGTTTCAAATTTGAAGATTATTTTTAATTATTTTATTTACATTTTGGTTTTAATAAATCTGTAAAACGTATTTGTCAAATATATTAATTAAAATCAATATAAAACTTGCAAATTAATCTATACTATATTATAAAACATATGATAAAAACTCTTAAAACCCATTTTTTATACATGAAATACTGTTTATTGATGCATATTACTTAACATTCAAGATTACAAGTAAATTTTGCATAAGTACAAATTATTAAAGCTCTATGTTTGAATTCGTGTAACTAACTGCGGATAAACATCTCATTTTAAAATATAAAAAATGTAAAATATAATTAGGATAATTATTGAGTCTAACAGAATACTTGATTATTATCTTTATAAAAAAATATTATTAAATCTAAATTAAGTTACTTCATTACGATAAATTAAATTATAATAAAAATTTTGAATTACAAAAAATACACAAATAAGAACTTTTAAATAGTTAATTTGATACTAATAATAATATATTTTTTGTAAATTCTATGTGATATTTTCAAACTGCGTATTATCACATTTGATAAAGGTGTTCTCGCATTCTTGCAAAATGGACGTGTTCTCGTTTGAACCTCCACATATATATATATATATATATATATATATATATATACACACACACACACATGCACACACACATCTAAGTAAACACTAAACAAATAAACAGATCAGTTTTTGAGGGAAAGGATATGACAAACTGCCATATTGTTAACGAGGTGCAGTTTCAAGCTTTTTTCTAGATTAGGAACAAGTTCAAAAACGAGATCCAGATTAGACTGGAAAATTTGGTGTAGTGAACTTGGTAGCGCTTGTAGTGATCTGACGTACTCCTAACTTCTCGCTATTTTTGTTTTTTTATAAAATTTGTTGTTTCAAAAAATAATAACAATAAATTAAAATTGTATAAGTATTAATAAAAATATGCGAAGACGAACCTTTGTTAAGGACCTTTATTGTAGAGTTTTGTTTTTGTTTTTGTTTTTAACGTGAAGCTAATTAGTCAAGGAAAAATAGAAGAAAATGCTATGACTAAAATATAAAAACAATATTATCAGTCGATTAGAGAAAGGATTATTTGAAAACTATAAATACCAACTATCAATGAAATGTATGATACTCATGATGTTATTTACGACGAGTGATATTCACGAATACCTATCATGGATAATTAATTCATTACGCAATCCTAGAAGGATTTTATGATGTTTGCAGTTGGCTCATTGATGTCTAGAGGTTTGATGCGTGGATTCACATTTCTTTCTATTTGGATCATGTACTATGGAATTTCTTACAATTCTGAAAAATATGTAAATGAACTTTGTGCGTAAGGATAAGTTTGGAATATATATATAATCGGGTTTTATCGTCTAATGATTATTAATAAATCTTATGAATTTTTATATAATACGACTAATATATTTTTAAAATTGGAGTTAATAATCGTACAAAATATATATTTGTTTTGCGATAAAGTATGCATGCAACCAAAGGGCCTTTGGTTAAGCGGTAACGTAATCCTTGGCCTTCTAAGAGGTTAGGGGTTCAAATTTTACCAAAGATGAAGAGGATGTATGAGTTTATTTGTTGCATTTGTCGTATATAATTATATATGCATGGATGTGACAATTATCTTAAAATCAATCCTCACTAGTTCCTTTCTCTCCCTACAGAAACTTAAGTTTAATCCCCACAGATACAGGTACACCTACACATTAACACTTATTTTGTGTGGTTATTTATTTGAATTGCAACAACTGAAATCATATAGAAAAATCATGTGGAGGTTGAAGGTAGCAGATGGGGGCATTAATCCGTACCTTTACAGCACAAACAACTTTGTGGGTAGGCAAACATGGGAGTTTGATCCTAACTATGGAACTTCGGAAGACCGTGATGAAGTTGAACGAGCTCGTCTTCATTTCTGGAATCAGCGACACGAAGTTAAGCCCAGTAGCGATGTCCTTTGGCGCATGCAGGTTCGCTTAATTGCTACGTCTTTCGATAATTTAATTTGTGCATGCATTTTCTAATTACTGAATCTGCTTGCAAAACCAAAGTTGAAACTCATTGAAACATGAATGTATATATTCAGTTTTTAAGAGAGAAGGGGTTTAAACAAACGATACCCCAGGTGAAGATAGAGGATGGTGAG